AGCTTGATGTAATTCTGAGACAGCAAAGTAGTGGTGACGCTTTAGAGTTCGATGAAAAATTCTAAGTATCGAATAGTGATTTCTTTGTGTCTTCATGACATACTTTTTTGATGTTAGAAAAGGTCTGCTATTCCACTTAAAATTTTTGTAATTATTTCTTTCCCTCTGATACTTCCGCTATTTTGTGTATGTGGCAGTTTTCTACTGCAGTGCAACAGCATTAGACAAAAGAGTAGCGTGAGTATTCGCATCCTAACATCTCTTTATTCAAGCTCAAACCATTCCAACAGAAGTGGCGCGGACAGCATGCAGCTGTGCGCATTTTTCTTAGAAGTTTTCATTATTAATTAAACTGAATACATTCCAACTCAGCTATTATCTTATTATAGTTCAACATGTGTAGCAATATTTCATACATTGGCCCAAAAGACTTTGTGTAATCCTCTATCTTTTTCAAGGAGTCTTGCGAAAGCAAACTTGTAGAACCAACTTTGCCTTCGTTCTTAGCAAGATGTGCTGCGTATCTTTTTCAAGGAGTTTTGCGAAAGCAAGCTTGTAGAACTAACTTTGCCTTCTTTCTTAGCAAGATGTGCTGCGCCTACATCTTGTGCTTTGGCTTCAACTGAAACTGTCTTTGTAACTTCTTTAATTCTCTGTTCTTGTAAGGAAGTTGCATGACGAAAGATCTCCGGAAAAGTTTGGTTTACACTGCATCAATTTCTTTATAATTTATTCTAGAGAAAGTCAGCGTGCACCTGGGTCATACTCTATAACTGTAAAAACGACAGATGATCATGTTGTACATATCTTGATACAAAAGAAAGCCGATGTAAGTGTAGTATTGCTTTTTTTGTGCTTATCCGTTAAAGTGTTTCTTTAGACTGGTATGTATCACGTGGGAGGTGGTGACGAATTCCGGACTGTTAGTGAACTTTTAGCGCATTATAATAATAATCCTATGGTTGAAGAAGGCAGTCAGAGAGTGGTTCATCTGATGAATGTGCGTCAGCATTTAACATTCTTTCTAAGCACAAATGTTTATTTGTACTTACAGCTGGTTCCGTCTACATGCGTGCCAGCAGATGCAATTGATGAACGTATACGATTATTGGAAGAAATTGATCCTGTAACAAAAAAATCAGGATTTCTTGAAGAGTTCGAGGTTTGCCGTGATGCCTGTTGATATTGGTACGAATAAAAAGATACCTATCAAGCGTATTCAACAAGTGGACGATCAGTTTTCTTCGCGTCGGGAGGGAAAGAAAGAACAAAATGTCAGTCGAAACCGATACAAGAACATAGTTCCATTTGACCATACCAGGTTCGTGTTGTTTTTCATTGCTACCTCCGTTTCAGGATATCTTCACTTTCCAGAGTCATTCTGAAGGATATCCCACCTAACGAGTCAGATTATATCAACGCCAGCTACATAAGAGTGAGTCAATTTTCTGCTTGGTTTAGTTGTTGTTAATCTTTGTTGTTTTTCAGTGATCCTTATGCTTTTTCCGAGCTTCTTATTTACTAACCTGCAAAGTTCATACGATCCGATATCGCAAAGTTTTGTTGCGAATTGTGTCATAAACTCGTAGATTTCATTTGCATC